CCCCAAAACCCCAAAACCCCAAAACCCCTAGATTCTAAATTCCCTAGTAATCTTGAATTTTCATTGAATTAAAATAAGAAAAAAATACTTAAAACGCGCTTAATCACTCAGGGTTGTACTGGAAGAGTTGTGTTACTGCCGATGGTAGAATTAATACCATCGCTAGAGATACTGGCTCCACCCTCTCCTCCAGCAGCCTTACTTACCACATTATGCTGTGTAACTAAGAAAGATAAGAATACCACAGCAAATGGCATGAAATAGTAGTAGAATGCAACATAGAACATTCTGATGATTTTGTAGAGGAGGAATGTTAAAACGCCTAACAATCCAAATTTATTATCTGACTCTTTCCAAGATTTAATTTCAAGTTCTTATTAGGGTGTTGACTCCCTCAATGGTGAATTTTGAAGAGAATTTGAATAGAACTCCTAAATGTCTGCCACAACCATGAATGCTATCATATTAATAATAATGTCTTGAGCGTTGTCAATAGTACAGAGCAAGAGCAAATTAGCGAATTCACAAGTGAAAGTGCCAAAGAAATACATTAATGCAACTGCAATTTGAGGATATTTTCTATACCATTTTTTTGTAGTTAATAATGCATAATTCATCATGTTAAGGGCTCTTCTCATGTTACTCTCAATGTTAATGTGAAGGATGATGGCGCTTAAGAATCTTGTTACTAATATATTAAGTGTCTCCGTCTGCTTGAAGGAATCAACGAACAGTATTTGATATAGTGCATATAGTCCTAGAGTGATTTGAATAGTGAAAATGACAACACAGTTAATGAAATTTCTAGCTACTTCTTCCTCGTTAATGGAAATATGCTTTCCCTCAGAATGATCAGTATTAGCTCTCTAGATCAAAGCCTAATTTTCATTTGTGTCAGCCTCCTGGTCCTCTGAATCCCCACTCATACTATCAGATGAGAGGTTAGATTAATTCTTGCTTTATTTCCTCAATTGGTGTTGCTGATCTCTATAATTTATTCACTTGAGTATTCTAAACTTACATGTATAAATATGAAAAAAAGGTGATAGAGTAAAAATCTTCTCCTAGTTTGAATGAATGAAGCTCTTAGAAACTTTTAGTGCCCAATGCTCCTGATGAAAATTGTGGTTTTTTAGAGATTGCTTCCTTAAAAGCCTCTTTGCCTTTGAAGATAATAGTATAACATAGTTATGCTGCCACAAATGCTACAATAATAACTAAGTTACCAACTACCCAATTTTTAATTAATCTTTCACATCCGTTGAAAATGAAGAAGTAGGCTAATAGATAGCCATACAACCCAATTACAACTAGTGACATTGTCTTTAGAAACCAATCTTTATAGTCACTGTGACCTCTGAAAACGACTGCGACTGCAGCCATAACAAGCTAAACTCCACAAGCTCCAACAAAGTAGTAAATGGCGGTCTGATAGGATGCATCACTTGAACCACATTATGTATCTTTCATGTAAAGGATAGCCAATGAGACAATAATCATAGTACCGTTATAACTAAGTAACTAGAACTAATCTTTGGTTGAACTCAGGTAGTCATGCGACTTCTTATGGGAAAGAGATTTCCTCATTGAACTAGAAGGCTTTATTGGCTGAATGCACGAAGAGAGTAGCAAAAAGATTATAGCCTATATAATTTGAGAATAGTAGGTAATAAGTTCAATTTCAATCCAACTAGTAGTAAAGAAATCTGCATCATCCTTCTCAAGGTTAATGTATACTATCTAAATATAGAATATAGCTCCTTGATACATAATGATTGTGACAATATCTATTAGTAAAGGCAAAAGAATGCATGATTTTTTCCACTCAGTGATTATGAATCTGAATACTTCTAGAGTGAAACAGATACTGTGAGTGACAAGCATGACAAATAGAGCATAGTGGGCTTGATAAAAGTATCCTTCCTCTTGCCACCATATGATATACATAATCTAGAGTAGGTAAGTTAGATTCATGTAGACGTTCGCAGATGCGATACGGTAGCCTTGGAAAGGATCTAAAAGCTTCATTATATTATTATGCTTAATTATATATTTCGCAATACATCTACTAAGGTAAAAAACAATATTTTAAATGAGATTGATTATTTTATTTTTCTTTAATTTATTTAATAGTTAATGCGCGGGGTTTTGGGGTTTTGGGGAGATCGGAAG